GGGATGGCGGGGAGGGGATGACTGCCTCGACGAACGGAGGCCGACAGGGGCCCGGCCCCGGTGTCTCTTGGGCCGGGGGGGGGGGGCCTCCCGAGTCGGGCCCAGCGGGAGAGGGTCAAGGATGTACAAGTCTCGCCTGTCCCCGGGGGGCGAGGGAGGGATCTCCCCCGGGCGGTCGATTGCTGGCGTGCTGGGAAGGCAAGATCTGCCGCCCGGCGGACGTGCTTGTGGACCGAGGGTGCCCTGTTCTGCCCTCGGCCCCGTCCCGAGCCGCTGGGCAGGTGTGCCGAGCCCGTTTGCTCGCGTCTGCTCCCGAGGCCGCCCTTGTCCGCACACGGTATCAGGGCGCCCCGCATCTTGGGCAGCGTTCTCCCTGGCGGCGGTGGCGGCGGTCGGATGGAGGGGGGGGGGGGGGGAATGGTGCGTGTCGGGACCAATCGGCGCGCAGGTGCCAATGCCGGCCAGCGTGTGCACGCGAGGGGTGTGATATCGACGGCCTGCACGTGCACGGGCGCTAACTCGGGAACACCATTGCAATATGGACATTCCCTTCTTCTTAATCTGAAGGGTGGCTCTGGATCCGCCGGGCTTGTGGCGCCAACCCCTTGCAAGGTCGAAGGCATACCCCAGGCCGAGTCGAGGGCTTTCGCCCGGCGGCCGGGCTCCCCCGCCCGCCCCCGGGGGCAACGTGGGTCTGACAATCGTCGCGGCGCGTGTCCTCTTGAGAAAGAGTGATCGCTGGCGAGAGTCGGCCGGCCCTGATAAGGGGGGTGGCACCCGCCGCCAGGTGTGCGCATGCATGTGTTTGGATGTTGGGCAGAGGGGACCAAGGGGGGGGGGGGGGGGGCAGAGCGACCCTGTGCACCGGGCGCCAGCCCCATCTCCGTCTGTGGGAGTATATTGCGAGCAACGCCCGGGGCGAAGGAGCCTGGGGGGAGGGGGGCCTCAACACAATAACATTAGAATGTTTGGGCAGCTGCGGGGCTAGACAGGCGGCCGGGTTCAGCGGGCACCAGCCGCCGGCCACTGTGCGTGCATTCTCCCCTGCTCCGGCAGAAAACCGGGTTCGTCCGGCGCCTTGCAGCCCTGGCCCAGCCCTCGTCCCCCATCCGGGGCGGGGGGGGACCTGGCCCGAGACTGTCCTTTTAGCCGGGTGGGGGGAGACTTCAGCGCGGGGGAGGCCGCAAGCCGGGCGTCTCGGAACGCACAGATGCGCGCCGATCGCTGGGCGGGACAGTTGTCAGGTCCGGGCATTGTGGCGCGGCGGGGGATTTTAATTTTAAAAATCCCGCCCGGTCGCCGGGAGCCGGGGGAGGCCCTTCCCGCGCCGCGCGAGATAGGGCTGCACTGATGATGCAGGCGTCCAGGCTTGGGGGCTCGGCGTCCCTTCCCCGGGGGAGGGGGGGGGGGACCACAGACGCGCGCGCCCCAGGGCACGGGTGTCCCCCCCGCGCCAGGAGGGCGGGGGGCACCCAGAAAGAGCCAAGTGCCTATCTTGCTCGAGCCGTGGCGCGTTGTGGCCGCCTTTTCCGGGGAGGGGGCGTGGCCGGCAGCGGCCCGCCGGCCCTGTGGCTGGGCAATTCACCAAGGGGTGTGCCGGGTCCGAGGCCCTCCTGTTGCGGGGGGGGGGAGGCGGGGGGAGAGTATGCATGATTGAATAACACCCGGCCGGCGGACGGGCGGGCGGATGAGCCGCGCACGACCGCGCCGCCGATTGCCACCGAATCCGCGGGAATCCTCGCCGCCGCCGCCGCCGCACGCCCGCGCTCGTGGGCGGGCGTCTGACCAGCCATGAACGGGTGATGCTCACGCCCGCGGGGCGCGGCCCGTATGATGGTGGTGCCGCACCGGCCACATAACACACACGGTCTCAGGAGGGGGGGGGGGGGGGGGGGCCGCCCTCTCGCCGTCCG